GTTTAGAAGCAGAAAGTTGAGTCATCCATGTTTATATGTCTGTAAAACATGCTTGTAGTTTAAGTAACTGGTTGGATTCATTGGGTTTCATGGATAAATTTAACTGAGTATCATCAGAATAACAATGGAAAATTTCCCCATGCTGTTTAATAACTTTACCTAATGGAAGCATAAAGTAAAGAGGATTGGTCCAAGCACGGAACCCTGAGGAACTCCATGACCATTCATTAAAGATAAATTAAGTACATCTAAAATATGGATATTAATTAAGGGAAATGCTTCTTTGAACAGTCTGATTGGGATGGGATCTAGCAGAAATRTTGATGGTTTGGATGAAGCTATTATTTTAAATGATTCAGAGCTCAAAATAAAGTGCAGACAAATAGATATATTTTCAAACTCAGAAGCATTCGAGAGTACACACACCCAAACAAAGTTCTGCTGGATGCTGATTGATTGTTACAATATGACATCATCACTAAAAAGCAGCCTCCAGCGCCTCCTCTGTTCTCTGTTTCCAAACATAGATTTTGAGTCTGTTTGTTCAAGATCACAGTTCTAGAAGATGTTGCCAGATCACCACCAATAATGAATAATTTGCTCTTTGAGACAACCCCGACATCAAAGGCATTCATATCTTTTTGAGTAATCTTGTGCATACAGACTAACAAACCAAGCAAAATCATTTTAGTGGTGTTAATAATACAACTCATTTGATATTATGTAATGAAATCAACCCATTTAAACACAAAATCTGGAAACATTTTGAGCGGCAGTAAATTTAAAAGACCATTTCCCCAMCAATAACTTAAAATATTGTCACTATTATACATTCCGTTGGAGAAATCCTGTAAATTTATGCTTGCTCACAACCGCACGCAGAMAGGTGTTCGGATCCGAGGGGTTCTGAATGATCACCAGGTATATATAGGTGGGTGCTTGTTTATCTGTCTGAATGTATATATGTATGCTTTTACTAAGTTTTTTAATTCTTTGCAGGTGTGCAGACAGATGTTGGATGGATTGTACTGTTTTCTTGACGTATATCTCACAAATCATCATTTCTTTCTTTCACTTTTTTCCATTACATTGTAATATTTTTTCCTTTCCTTCTCTTTTCCTTTCTTTTGTCTTCTTTCTTGTCTATCTAAAAAAAAAACCCACTGATGATGAAGAAGCTAAGAAACTAATATTCAGATATTTAGTACTGCTTTCTACTGAAGTGGTTAAAAATATATATTGTACCTTACTTTATAACGCTGTAGAGAGAACCAATCACGTTGCTTGAGTCAAACCCGCCCATACCGTTTGAACACGCCCACTCAGGCGACGCCCCGCCCCCTCGTGTTCACTGGCCAGGTGTACTTGGTGGCCTGCGATTAATCAATCAATCAGCCGGTGCCTGAGCTCCTCTCCTCAGCTCACCGTGCAGCTTAATTGGTTGTTAACACAACCGGTTTGTCGCTATGAACGAAGACTGTGACTTAGCAGAGCATTTCGGTAAGGCTACTTAATTGTTTTATTGTTTAATTGGCTCATTTTGTCAGGAGAACCATGGGCTTTTTTTCACAACCTGTCGTGTTTTGCGAACTTTTGAACTTTTATTGTAACATTTCTAAGCCCATATGTGAGAAAAGTCTCTTGTTCTGAACGGCTTCACAGGGATAAACTTATACAAAAAGAAAACAAAACACCCAGGACCCCGTGTTTGGCCTTATGGACAGGTTAGCTAGCTGCAGCTAGCCGCTAGTAGTTAAATAGGGCGCAGGTGAGGGCGCGAGTCGTTGCGCACCTGGGACACTAATTACACTCTAAAAATGAAATGTTGGATTTACTTAACCATGTTATGTGACCTGGTTCCACATAACTGAGTTGAGTAAATTCAAAGCAACATACTCATGTTCTTTGGCTAAAAAACTGGTATATTGCTTTGAATTTACTCAACTCAGTTAAGTGGAACAGGGTCACATAACATGGTTAAGTAAATCCAACATTTCATTTTTTACAGTGTAACTTCCGGCAAACTTTAGCTTTATTGAAAATGCGGGGGAYATCATGAAGAAATAAAAACAATTCTGATCTATAATGTACGCACATGTTGAAGTAATTTTACTTAGAAAATACACAAAGTTGACTTTAATTATTAAATCGTCAGTGATTTAAAAAAAAGCAGAATTGTGTATAAAGTTAACATAGAAGCCAAATACTCATTTTAGTGTGAAAACACTTGGAGAAACATGTCTTTAAGCTGGAAACATCTGGTTTTGGCTGTAGATATGTGATGTAAAAAACCCACATCTGCTGCTGTTTTACTCAGTTTCAGACACTCTGAGCCTTCTGTGTGAGGAGCTGGAAGACTGGAAAACAAATAACGCCCAAGAAACAACAAGCAGCAGCAGGAGGAGGGAAGGAGACGAGGAAGTGTCTAATCAGAGGGGTAATGAAGAGGCCAGAGAGGAGACGGAGCGTGAAGAAACAAACGGAGGGGAGGAGAGCGAGGAAAATAAAGTTGTCGAATCAGAGAAGGAGCTGACTGTGAGAGGAGATGAGGAGGAGGCGAAACCTAAGAGGAGCCTGGAAGACGAGGAGTCGCAGGATGTGCAGATTGAAGACAAAGACGCTGGCAAGAGAGAGACCAAAACAAAGAAAAGTGAGCCGAAAAAGAGCAGGAAGAGGCGAGGCAAGAAGCAGAACGAGCAGGTGAGGAACAGGCGAGCAGGAAAGGATGCTAATAAAAAGGAGGAGGAGGAGGTGGAGGAAAAGGGAGGCCAAACACAAGAAGTGTCTGTGATGACCTCGGAGGAGAACCCGGCTCTGTTGGAGCCCTCCATCAGCCTGCTGAGCAACTGTGACTTGTCCGACCAGGTCTACTTGAGTTTTGGCGGGACAGAGGTGTATTGCCCCCAAGTCCCGGCCCCCCTGCCGTGCTCCTTGCAGCCTCCGGTCTCGATCCAACCCGTTCCTCCTCAGTCACACAGGACAAAACGACCTCGCAGCTCCCCTCAAGCTCACGGTGTCCCCCYGCAGACCTCACAAGCTGAGGTGAGAAACCCATCTGTTGAGTCTTGTTGCTCTAAACTGTTTTTAGTTTCCCAAGACGACAGATGAATACATTTTTTTTATCATTCCACGTGTTAGAAAATGACTCTGATGATCCACTTTTTAGTCATTTTAGTATATTCCCGTATATCCCAACAGGGCTGTAATAACTCACTTGCCATTTATAATTACAGTCTAATGTGCAGGAAATGATGTACACCTACCGCCTTCTGTGCAATTTAGTGTTGCACCTGTGAAAAYGCCATTTAAATMTTAGACTCACTTTGTGATATAATGCCATACAGGAGGTAACGGAGCTGCTCCAAGCTCATGCAAACTGTATGATTTTAAGTGAAATAATATGTTAATGATCATTTTTGTTCTTTAATGCTGAGGTTTTCAAACTTTTTGGGTCTGGGGACCCCTTACAAGGGTGGAAATTTTCCAGGGACCCCCTCATAAACACCATGCTGTTTTAAAAATAATTAATGTAACAAAATACAAATACTTTTACTGTACTTAAGTAGAAATTTTGGGTATCTCTACTTTACTTAAGTAATTATATTTCAGCATACTTTTTACTTCAACTCGTACATTTTTACACAATTATCTGTACTTTCTACTTACATATTTTAAAAAGGTAAGAAGTAGAAACTTGTTTCTCCTGTTTTATTTTGACTCGTTATTGTTAAAAAAATACTATCCTAAAAAATTGTGTCTCCTGGATAGAATGAATTTAATTGTGGTTGGATTTTAAATATAAACAGATACCATTCTGATACTGTAGCAAGGTTGTACATAATTCATCAAAGCTGCACGCCATTAGAAAAAATATTTTTTAACAGGTCACCTCCCAATAAATGTATTTTGGAAAATCATTTTTACTCAATGCTTTTACTTTTAATACTTAAGTACATTTTATGTCAGAATTTTTTTTTTAATACTTAAGTACAAAATAAATCGGATAAGACTTTTACTCAAGTAATATTATTAGAGGAGACTTTAAATTTTACCAAAGTAATTTTATGATAAGATACTTGTACTTTTGTTCAAGTATCACTTTCAGGTACTTTATACAACACTGCCTAAATATCATGTGAATATTATTTTTTGTTTGGTTTAGTATGTAWGTTTTACCAGTGCATTTTTCCCCATATGCATTTTTAAAAATGAAAACCAAATTAAAAATTTATTGAAATTTTTTGAGGACCCCTAAAATAGGGCTTGCGGACCCCTAGGGGTCCTGGGACCCCAGTTTGAGAACCTCTGCTTTAATGAAGTCAGTATTTATTTTTTTCTAAAATGTAAAGAAAACCCAAATCTCTGTACCTATACGGCAAAACAAGTCCATGAATTAATATTTTCACACAATGAAAAGAGCTTGAAACAACTAAGAGATTAACACCAATATTTTCTAGATTAATGATGGAATAAGGAAGCTATGGTTATTTTAGTACAACAAATTGCTCCTTTTTTTCCTGCTAGTTTAACTTTTAAAACCCAGAAAACCTGTGATGATTCTGCAACAAAAACAAATGACTTCTTGAGATAATTATATAAAATTTTCAGTAGAAGTAGGAAATGGTCTTAAAATTGGCTATGTATATTCATTATTAACTAATAGCTAAAACTATAACACATTGATGATGATGATGATGCCTTTATTGTCATTGTATGGAAAAAACCCTAACAGTAATAATAAGATGGATTAATAGATGTCATTGTCATGTTTGGGACCTTAAAAACCATGTTTGCCTGATTCTCATTAAGTCAGCCAGTATTTGGGTAAAATCTATATTTTGATGCCATATACTTTTTTATTTGAGTTCTATAAGTCTGAACTTGTTTTTAAGCTTGAACTTGAACATCATGTTCAGCACAGATAAACCGCAAGAAAAAGTGGCAGAATCTATTCGATTAAAAACATGGTGAAATATTAACTTATTTGCTACGTCTTACYAAAAACATCAGAGTGAAATATTTCTTTAGCTCGATAAAAATGCAATAATTGCAGGGTATTCTGCAAAACATACACCTGTGTGCTCTTGTCAGCTGAGAGGCGGGGTTTGTCACGTACCTGAACTCCAAAGTTGGTTTGCGTTTTATTTTACTCAAAGAATGAAATGGGTCACACTTCTTAAATASATTTTGATAGATTTCAAAGTCTTGATGTGGCAGCTTTCATAAAACTWTTTTCTACTTTCCTTAAGTTATGTTAAACGTCATTCCTCAGGGTCCTAAACGATCTTTTTTATACAAAGTAAGCAATCTGAAGAAAACCTCAGGCTCTGGATAATTGCTAGCTTGTTGTCTTTTAATGAACCAGCTAATTAACACACAAATGAGAAAATTATTATCTTTCATTTCTTAACTATCCTCAGGATAGATGTGTCGCTGCGCTGTAGGAGATGCACACAGATGCCAGAAAAACCTCTGATGTTAGAAAATCACTGCAGCTGTCAGTGGATCGTAATGTTCTCATGTTGCAATGATTTTTACTTTAATAATAACATGACGTCTGTTCGGTTTGTGGCAGATGGAGATAACTCAAGTCTGCTCCACTCGACGCTCCGTTCGATACAGCAGCAGGGGGCGGGGCCAGACTCTCAGCATCCCTGTGCTGCCCGGGTCAGAGAGCACAGAGAGCTGCCCTCTGCCGCCTGTCCCGAAGAAGAAAACACGGACCCTCTACACTACAGGTGATCGCCCTGTTTTATTGATGCATGTACATGTTTTGGCACTTGGCTGCTGTAAGTGTGTGTGTGTGTGTGCACTTTCAGACCAGCTGGAGCATTTAGAGGCGTTGTTCCAGGAGGATCACTATCCTGACGCTGAGAAGAGGAAACTCATTGCCGCCTCAGTCGGTGTCACCCCTCAGAGGATTATGGTAAAACTGTCCTGCTGCTCTTTTGATCTTTAGAGAAATTCTAATTAAGATGTTTCCTCATTGGTTATCTGCTTCTCAGSAAGACAGATACACGATGAGCTGACAGAAAAGTTTTCCTTTAACTTTGACAACCTTTTCTCTCCTCTCACTTGCAGCTTTCACATTTCATCATTGTTAAACTTTATCTGTTWATTATTGCTTTTAATTTTCTCCTTGTAGCTATTTTACTGTAGCTCACAGCTGGAAGGTAAAATATATTTTTGCTCCTCGTGTTCATCTGTCTGTCAGCATAATGTCTTATAAAATACTAAATGAATCTTTCAGCTATCCTTTTGCTACTTTTAGKTAATGTTCTGCTTGTTTTAAACTTTAAGAACTCTGTTAAACTTCTTAAAGTCTTCAAGTTTATGTTCACTTCAGCCTGATTGAAGATGATCAGGTGATGCCCGTTCCCTTAAGGAATGCTAGGACGTTAGTTTTCTCATGTTTCTGTGTACCAGGTGTGGTTTCAGAACCGCAGAGCGAAGTGGAGGAAGGTGAACTTCAACACAGCAAAGACTGAATCTGCTCAGAGCGTCTGCAGTCCGAATCAAAAATTCAACCTCCCCTTGAACACGCTGATGTCTAACAGGTACCCCCAGTTTGTTACCATTTAGATAATTTTGTTGATAAATTGTATTATTTTGTCTCCTTTGTTTTTATTTTTCTTTTAGGAAGGGAGCTCCTTCTTATTCTGGTCACTTTACTGCTCATCTACCTCCGCCCACCCCACAAGCTCCTTTCCCCACTCAGAACCCACCCTCCATCAGCAGCCTGCTGGAGAGCTTCAGCAGTCCAGGTACACTGCTTAGATTCACAAAGTTATGAAGTACAGAAAACATAATGATTGATTTAAAAAGTCTTAAAAGGCATTGAATTCATCAATCCAAAAATAAGGCCTTAATWAGCCTTAAAATGTCTTAAATCAATTTTTCAGAGGTCTTAAAAATGTTAAAACATTGCAAGTAGTGCGACTGTAATTCATCTCAAATATTAAAATAATCGGTAACATTTATTTTTTTAAATAATTTTCCAAATACCTCTTGTAAAATTGTCACTGTTTTTGGTTAAATTGTCTTAAATTTTATTTCAAGTGGCATTAAAGAGGTATTAAAAAGTCTTAAATTGAACTTGCCTTAGGTGTAGGAACACTGTTACAAGAAGGAAAAACAATAAAAAGCTCAAACAACTAAAACCATAAATATAATAAAATAGGCTAAAAAAAGGAAAATGGAAACAACTCAAAACTTCTGATGGAACTCAAACAGAACTTTGTGTAGAAAAAGTGAGTTTTCAGGCAGGATKTAATAGACTGAACAGACTGAATCTGGAGAGGCAGGTTGTTCCAGAGTCTGGGGGTCCGATCCCCTCTGCGCTTTAATTTTTCCCTCAGCTGCACTAAAATCATCTGACTATAGGATCTGAATGTTCAATATGTATGTGTGGTAAATGTGCAAAAGTTCCTATAAATGACTAGGTGCTATGCTATTTAACATTTTTAAAGTAAAAGTCGAAGAATCATAAAATCAATCCTAAAACTAAAACAGGAGCGATGGGATCATTACTTCTGGTACCGGTTAAGATGTGCAGCATTGGTTTAAAAATAAAAAAATCTCTTAATTTTTCATGAGGCACCAAGACTCAAGGCTAACTTTGTTATAATCTAGTATTAGAACAGTATTCTCCCTGCAGCTGAGGGGTTCACAACATTGTAATGTGTGAAATACTAAAATGATTCAAGTATTTATTTTTTTCTAATTTCTATTCTGAGCACTGGTTGCATTGCCAAGTACAAAAGAAAATTAACACCATAAATAATCTTGGTAAAAATAAATGGGTCATCCTGCTAAAAGGTGGAAATATTTTTATTAATTTGAACCAAATGAATAGATAAGTTCCAGTTTGTAGCAGAACAGTCTGTTTGTCCTGAAAACTTTATTTATGCAAAAATAGAAATCTATACTGAGATTTACTAGTTTCTACTGAACCAGCATTAAGTAAATATTGTCAAATATGATTTGACATAAGATTTTGTTACCAGTAATGTGACATTTTCAAAGTTCGTAACTCAAATACTCAACTTAATTAACTTAACTTAACTTAATACTAATCAGATCTAGAAACGTGTTATTCTAAATCTGAGTCATTAGTTCAAACTTTGCATTGAAGAAAACAAATAGTTGATATTTTCCTCCTCAATGTTTGCTTTTTRTAAGAATAAATTAAATAAAGCTTGTTATTAACTTTTTGTGTAACCCTCTGCTATTTAACAAAATGTATTTTTTGTTTATGTATCTTTTTAATTAGTTGTTTTTGTTTGGTGCAGTGGCTGCAGTGACAAGTCTTGAAAAGAAAATAGATATTTTCAGCTTCCCTTCACTGTCACTTTGTTTTAGAGATCTGCTGCACATTTTGCACACTTCCAKGAGTTGTTATGGGTAGATGACATGTTGTTGTGACTGTGAGGGTTTTAGTGATAGTTTGTGCCAAACTTGTTTTTGTTCAACAGATTGATTCCTTGAAGTAGCGTATAAATAACTTCAGTTCAGCCTTGCAGTCTGCACACCAAGACTAAAACCCACTGGATTTGTTTTCCATAAAATGTAATGTTTTTGTCCACAAGGTCAGTGCAGAGGGAGAGACGTGGGTCAGCACCAGCCCCYGTCTCAGGGGAGTTTACCAGAGTTTCATCCCCGTCCCATGCACAGCCCACCCCCTCTGCGGCGAGCCAGCCTTCCCCTTTTCACCACGATGTTCAACCCTGTCAGCCCCAACCCACCTCTCCTCAACACCCCCGCCCACACCCCGCCGCTCTTCCTCGACGTTCTGGAGAGTGGCTCCTCTCTGGCTCATTGTGACTCCCAGTCTCTTCAGACAGACACCAGGTCAGCCCAGATTTCAGTGAACTGCTCAGCGAACAGCAGAGAATAATTTTAAATGTGGACAGCAGCTGATGGGGGGGGCAGAGCGTAGGCAGAGAGGATGACTGCTCACACAGAGTTCCTAATTCAGTTACAGATGATAATCTGAAGCATTCAGGAATAATGATGAGTTGATATTAGTTAGTAATTTATTTTAAAACAAAAAAAGTTTGTTTTATCTCAGTTTCATTTATTTAATCAATACGGAGCAAAAGTAATCATCAGTGGATAACAAATCTACATTAAAACTACTAAAACGATCAGAAACTCTTTGATGTAACTATTTTTTTTATTTACAAAAGCTAAAAATGAAGTTAAAGAAGCTCAGCAGGGCTTAAAACTGGACAAATGTTTTTATTTTTTAAATGTAGCACAGAAAGTGAGGCAAGAGTCTTAAATCTAAATGTATTAAAGGGGCAATATCATGTAAAATCAACTTTTTTGCATTTTATATCATGTTATAATCTTATACTCTCATAAAAAACATGTCCAAAGCCTTGCTTTGACTCATTCATGCATGTTTGAGAAATCCTGCAGCGTTTTTAGGCAGTCATGCTGAGGAGCAAAACGACAGGTGGGGACCAGAAACACCCCTGGGACGTGTCTTTAAGCTGAACTTCCTCATGGCAGCGTGCACCCCCTCCCCACACCCCGCCCATGACTCCTGCAGGCTCTTGGGTGAAAGTGAAAGTGAAACCTAACTGTCTGCTGAGCTCCACTACTTCTCACTCAGTGAAGCTCTTTTCAGATTCAAAATACCTTTTGAGGAAATGTATTTTCAGATGCCAAGTAAACTGCATCATAGCGCAACCCCCCCCACACACACACACACACACACACACACACACACACTAAAATGGACGGAACAGAAGCAGAAGGTGGTTCTTTAAGAGACAGAGGACAATTTCAAGGTGTTTAGAAGAGGAAGTGATGAGAGAAGATAAGTTTATTTTCTATTTAAACATAAAAACAGCATTTTAATAACAACTAAAGGTGACAGCTACTTTATTATGGTATAGTATTTAAATGTATGCCTG